CATTTGTTGATGCACAAAATCAGTGAGGACTTTGGTACAACAAAAAGTGTTAAGTTTATGACCTTCGCTAGATTGCTCCGATCACTAGTGTGGATAAGTATGCAAATGGATAGAGACAGGAAAGCAAACGTAAGATGTACGTGATTCATCCAGATTGGCTACATCCATGGATTAGATGAGTTCTCATTAATTGTGAAGGGTTTACACAAGTACATAGGTTCTAGCTCTCCTTTAGTGAGTACTAGTGAATGATTTAATACAAATGACATTAGGAAACATTGTGGGAGAATGATCTCCTTTTATAGAAGAGAGTTTCTAGCTTTGTTCTGACATTGACACGTGTCGTGTTGTGATTGGCTTCTGATGTTGACACGTGTCGCGTTATGATTGGCTTCTGATGTCGACACGTGTCGCGCTATGATTGGCCTCCTGGTTAGAGGGAAACTCTTCTGGGTCCTTGACTGTATAACGTTGACCGGTGCTCAGTAGTTTCGGGATTGGTCAAGTATGGTACAAACAACATTATTTGTTGGGAAATATCTATTCCCCTCTGTGCTTATAATTTTTTATGCAAGGAAACAAGCAAGTTGGGAAATATTTTTGTGTTCCTTAAAAAAATAAGATTACCGATTTATTTCCCTTATTTCAATGCGAATGCAGCTACATGAAATCTACTTAACTAATGGAAAGGACTTAGCGTTTGGCTGCGGTAGAGTTTTGGTTGGTAAGGTCCTCCTGCGACTCATGTGAATCAATTGCAGAGTGATTTTAGTGTTTGAATTTCATCTTTCAAGCATTATCTAGATTGCTTAAGTGCTTGAGTGCTTCAATGTTTGAATTAGATATTTCAAATTGTATGTGAATTGTAGTCCTTTAGGGAAATTTTTATTAAAATGTAATGGATGCCTTTTGGGTAATAATGCATATCAAGACCTTTGAATCTGTTGATTCAGATGTTTGAACACAATTGAAACTCACTATGTTGTTTGTGCAGTTTGTTATGAATTGTTAATTAGAGTTGGCTAATTTTGTTACTAAGAGTTTAGGGCCAATTAACAAATCTATTGAGTGATTTGTGATGAGCGCATATTTTACTACTTATTTTACTCCAAAAGCTACATTTTCTTGTGTCATGTTTGTTCTGAATGAATGAAATTACATGGTTTTGAGAAAAATATGAATTCAATCATTTTAAGGTAAATTCAAGTGAAGTAGCTGGAATTTGGTTTTGTTTAGTAAGTGGATTGAGTTGAAGTGTGTTTGTCATATTTTTTTTTAAGTCAAAATTGGTGTTAAATGATATTCACAAGTTGGGAAAATTTTAATTACATTTTTGGCTCATCCAGATCTTATGCAGGTTATTCTTTTAGAAATTAGACATCAGCTTATTTGGTTGAATTTTTGTGTAGGGATTATATTGTTTTTAAAGTCTAAAAGGAGGATTGACAAGTCAACAAAATGTGGAAGACATGCCTTTGCACGTGATTTATTTAAATGGCACAAAGGTTGGCCTTATCATCTCATTCACACCGATAGAGGAAAGAAAGGCTTAACCCAATCTTTTCTGGAGCAAACTGCCACATACAATTCAGCAGAGCAAGGGGTTTAGGGCGATCAAATTCAAAAAAAAAATGGAAACCCAACTTCCTAGATCAAATTCCAGTTTGAGGGTCTCAACCAAAAGTATGAACATGAGATATTTATTTGATGATTTTGATTTGTTGTGGAGATTGGCCAAGTTGCAAATCTGGTGGATGTCCATGTGGGAGATGCGATTGCTAGTCAACGCTTAGCAGATCATTGAAGAGGCAAATTAAGGAGGGTTGCTATTGCACAACTTGCAATTGACTCAGAGGTATGAGGTTTGGGGTTATGGCATAGAGAACAATAAGAAGGGAGTTGAAGTTTCTTCCGTTTCTCTTCATTCATTCTTGCCAATTAATGGGTTTTAAAACCTTTGTCGGTTACGGAAACGTAAAAGGGCAAAGAAGCACAAGAATTGATCAATTTTTTTTAGTTCTAAAAAATAAGGGACGGGAGTTAAAAAAAAAAGACACAGCGGCAGCAGCAGAGCACAAGGATTTTTCAGGCTTTTCTAAACTTAATTTTTCTTTTAATTTTATTATGAATTCAATGATATTTCCAGTTATGTTTCGGAACTAATTCTCCTTAGCTAGGGCTACGATGTAGTCATGACTATGAATGCTTAATTTCTGAAGTGAATTATTTCAAGTTTTCAATTTCATTGAGTATCGTTTGCTGTGTTTATATGCTTGGTTTTAGTCTTGGTGATTAGCTACCATCTTGACTTTTACTTGGTAAATTTGATGCAAGTTGTGCAGATGCCATGTTTTCAACTTGAGTGATAGCTTCTTGCAAATATATACCATGAATTGCCTAGTAGTAGATGCCATACTCTATGATTTGTGTAGTCTTTATATAAATTTCCACTGATCGTAATGAGTTGCATTATGTTAAACTATTCCAAATGTCATGGATGGTTGCATATTGGGATATACGTAATAGTCTAGATGCCATAGATATTACATGTGCTAGGAAAATTTGACTATCAATGAGATTGAGTACTCGTTAATAATTCACTGCAGAAAATAAGTTGAATTGGTTATGGTGAGTCGGATACTCTAGCGTTTTGCTCGACTGAATTACAAATTGTGTTCTTGGCTGCCACTTTTTGCATTGTGATCAAACTTTCTTGTTTTTGTTTTTACTATTAATTTCAATTCTCAAAACTATCTTTCATCAATCTTTGCTAGTTTTACTTCGTTGCAATTGGATTTAAGTTAGTTGATAAGAATTAAATCATTTTCTAAGGGACGATATTAAGTGCTTGCTTTCTATACTATCAAACGATTCGTACGCTTGCGAGCATAAAATTTGGAACTAAGTTGGACTAATTTCGGTTAGTTTAAATTTCGCAACAATTTGTAAGAGTCTTGAAGCAAACCTTTTGGAGAAGTTGAAGTCATTTGGAGTAAACTAATAAAATTTGACTATCCTAGCCAACATGTTTTTTTACTATTAACAACTTCTCAACCATATTTACTGATTGCAATAACTGGTTGCATTTGAAACCAGTAGCAACGCGCGGGCAATCTTTTCTAGTTTGACCCTAAAACTATGAAGCATCACAATTTGGTGGAACTAGGCCCAACCAAAACAACCTTTCACTCTAGTACAATCAAAGGATTTCTTCAATTAACAAGGCTTTATTTATAGGCTATAGAAAGATTTATGACTGATCTTGATACAATGCATCATCATTTCTCTGCATCAGCTGTGTAAGGAACTAGTTGCATAGCTTTGTAAAAAGCTCTTCACAGTATCAAATGCAATTAGCTTGAAAGGCTATTCAAAGTAATCCGTCAACTTAATCGAGGCTTGTTTTTTGCTATGCTTCCTAAAACTTGAATTTAATCTCACTTTCTCTCCTTAAACTAAAATATCACCACTTTTCACACTGGAACTCAATATTCGCTTCACTTTTATGAGGTTCCGTCAATTCTGTCAAAAGGTCGTGACAAAATTGAGGATATTTTAGTTTTAAGAGGAATGTGAGACTAAGTTCGAGTTCTTGGGATATAACAAAAAATAAGCCTTTAATCAATAGAAAGACATAATCATGCACAGGAATCAGTCATCGTAATCAATATCTATCAAATATACAGATTACAAGTTGTTCTTGCAAAGAACTTGTGCAAATTCTATGGTTGTGGGAGGCAAGGATTCGAACCATAATCTTCTCATGTAGTTATATAACGTGCATAACAAACTACAAGTTGAGAGCTCTACCAATTTCAATCTAAGTACGCCTAAGTATCCATTCATACGGCTGTGTCTATTAATACTGTTGCGGCAAAAGTTGTTACGATGGGTATTAAGAACATCCATCAGGAATTGAATTACTTTAGTCTAAAGAAAGGTTTGGAATTGGCACTGTAGAAATGAATAGTGTTTCAATCCGAATTTCAGATTAATTACAACCATACCATTGCTCTGTGTTGGTTTTGGGTCAGCAGACCGGCCCTCAGCCAAGCCCAAATGAGTTTGTTTTAGCTGAGAAGCCCGGCCCTCAGTCAGGCCCAAATAATTTAATTACAAGTTTGCCCATCAAAGACTACAATCCGATGGTGGGGATGGTGTATTAGGAAGGGTAATTTTGTCCTCTCGGTTTTGGGCGAGATGGGGGGTAACCGGGTAGGTGTCATTTGTTGTAGTTCAATTAGGGTTTCGGGGATGGAAGATCTAAGGGAGAGATAGACAGAGACAGAGATAGAGATGGTGATGGAAGGAGAGCGAGGGGGAGGGGTAGGGGTAGGTCTCGGTACTGTTGCTGCAGATGGCTTTCATAAGTGGGAGAGTCGGTATGGTCAGAGAATACCATATGGGTCGTCGGGATTTCAGGGACACGGGGTAAGGGTCATCAACAAACCCTACTGAGAGTGGGGTGTGCTGGATCTTGCGCTGCATGCCTCAAATCCAAAGATAAGTTCGTTTTTTAAATTGGATTTTTTAATGGTAGGTTAGATTTTCGAATTGTTAAAGAAGGAGAGGGGGACAGTGCGAAAGAGAGAGAGGGAGAGGGAAGAGTAGGAGAGGGGGTAACGGGACGAGACGGAACGGGACGGATCGGATGTTCCGTTCTGCGTTTGGTACGCGCAGGACGGAACAGGACGATTGTTCCGTCCTGCGTTTGGTAGCGCATGGACGGAACGGAACCAAAAGATTAAAATGACTAAAATACCCATGTTCCGTTCTGCGTTTGGTAGCGCATGGACAGAACATAACCACAAGGCTTTTTTTTTTTTTCTAAGTTGTTCAAATTTGAACACTATCATCCATTATTTGTTTCTTGGTCCAAATTTTAATAGGTATATGTTGTGTTCCACATGCAAACCCCTTTAAAATTTGTAATTTTGGGTAGTTACTTGTAGTTAACCTTTTATTGTTTTTTAAAACAAAATATAATTATCAAATAAGTTATCAGTTTAAAAAAAATATTGATTGAGCTTTCAAATTATGGGACAAATATGTATAGTACATGTTTAACAAAAAGAAAAAAAAAATATATATATATATAGTTTATAACTCGCAACGCTCACTTAAAACGAAAAGAAATATGAACATATATTTTGTCACATTGTTACTGGCTAGTTCATCATTTCTATGATTATTTGGAGGGAACCAGTATCCATGTAGTCCATATGGAGGACCATAGGGGAACTTTGCCCTAGCAATCTCTTCAAACGTTGATCCATCTAACAGCAATGAATATATAAGTTTAATGATCGAGTGAAACCTTGAGCAATTTGAGCACGTTGCTTTTCTTTGGTTGACTCTTGATAAGCATGTTATAGATAACAAACCTTTAAGTTTTTGAGAACAAATAAGATCTTACACAGAGAACAAATAAGATAATGATTGCATAACAAAAAAGTTGACATGAGGTTTATATTCACATATCTAGCTCACTTCTCAAAACCTAAAAAGCATTTCTAAATAATGAATAAATATAGCAACAGTAATATGGAACTACAACAAAAGCAAAACATAGAATTTCCAAATGAATGTTCATGTTTCTCTGAGACCTTATTTGTGATGAGTCAGAGATGGTTCTTGTAGAATGTTACAACCCCTAGTTTTATAGTTAGAATTCAAAACTAAATATTGGACTTTCTAACCAAGTTAGTGGTATGTCCATACAATTTATGAATTGATTCTGAAGCCTTCTTCTTTTATAGCTTCCTCATATACATAGACAACTTTTATGTCTTCCTTTTTAACAATTTTGAAAAGAAAGACAAAAAGAGTACAGTCAACCAGCTTTGTGGAGTTTGTGTTAACAAAAGAGGTTCTTGGTTCAAAGGAAACATTTCCAGAAAGAGTTGAATTAACAAACAAGTACTACCACTGCTACATAAGAATGGTTACCAAAAAGGAACCAGAAAAATATGAGAAACAACAAAAAGTGCAATAAATACAGATATACAGCACCTGCAAGTTTCCTGTGCAATCAATGTATAGTTGAGGTTCTTCTTTTACAGGATCAGCTTTCAACAGACCCTTCACATTAGCCCCTTGACGCTTTAAGAGTGCTGCAGAAAGAATGAGAAACAATAGAAGTGAGATTTTGCTTGGTTATGATCACAAGAACAATATACGTTGCAAGCAAGAACAAGAAAAAGAAAAAGAAGAAGAAAAATTAGAAGCAAAACAGTTCAAACAGGGAAGAAAAAAATAGATACTTTGAACACATTTAAACGACTAAATTAAACAGATTCGAAGAAAAAAACAGACAATTTAATCCTTTAAGATTAGGATAACTCGTCATGGGATGGAAAAGCAACGTAAAGGATGGGAAAATCTCAAGCAAACGGAAGGAGGAAATCTTGTATAAAACAACCTCAGAAAAGATATTAACTTAAGAATCAATTCAAGTAAATTATAATCGAAAGCAAAACCGCAGTTCTTCTAACTTTATTCTTTGGCCTAAACAGAATTTGTGGGCAACAACCCCACAAAACCCTTCCTTTATTTTGTTAAAATGAGCAAACTTTGAATCAAATGGCATTGCAAATCCCAATATATGAAAACCAAAACAACGGCAAGCAACTTCACTGAGGTGTTGTATGAAACTTAAGACCAGAATCAATCAAGAACTCCAAAAAAACAACAAAACCCAGGATTTTAATGTGGAAAATTTACTCTACAATCTAAACAATCCAAGCATGCAGTGATAGAAATCAACCCAACTCAAAATTTCCAATTCTCACCAAGAAAAAAAGCCAATGAAATACAGTGGATTTAGAAAGACGAAGTCTTTACCTCGGAAGAAACAGTAACGGAAAGCTGAAAATCAGCAGAAAGGTGAAGCTTCAGCGGAGAAGTGCTTTTGGTGGACTGCAGAGAAATGGGTTTTTCTCTGACAAGAATTTTCCTTCAATTGCTCTCTCTCTCTCTCTCTCTCTCTTCAAAGGTGCGGACGTTTTTCCATTGATTATCGCATCAGCGGAGACTGCCAACGAGGAACCCAGTGCAAGAAAGTCAGTGGCTGAGAAGAAGATGAGGAGGAAGGTTGCGAAGGGGAGAGATGGGGTGAAGAGGGTCAGCGGCTGAGAAGAAGAGAAATAGTTTTTAGGGTTTGTTATATGATTTTGATGTTGTAAATTTTGAAAAAGATAAGGAGCATTTTTGTCCTAAAATGTTAAAATTTTCTGTCCCACGGACGTGGAACAATCCGTTCCAGGAGAAGGAGGTGGAATAAAAAATCATCCAAAACTTGTCCCGTGGAACGCCTCGTCCCACTCATTTTAGGCGTACCAAACGCGGGACGGAACGCCTCGTTCCATCCTGTTCCGTCCCGTCCCGTGTACCAAACGCGCCCTTCCGTCCAGTCTGCGTACCAAACACTACCTCAGAGAAAAGCATAGGGATCGTCGGGATTTGAGGGAGAGATGTTTTGGGGTGAATTTCAACTTATTTACAAATTTGCCACAGGCTCTCTCTGCCGCTGATCGTGATGCACACGCGTTGATGATCGCGGGAAGAGAATAACAATGGTAAAGCAGGCCTTCTCCGTTTCCTTCCCAAAGAGATGGAAAGGGAGATAAAGATAGAGAGAGAGATAGGAGAAAGCATGGCTGTGTGTATTTTTTGGAGTTAATTAATGGGTTAGTGCACACTGCACAGGGTCAGTGAGGAGAGAATGACAGAGGGATGTATGGGAGGGTATGGGTTTTCAGTTTTTTCCTCTGATTCAACAGGTTATGCACTGTTTGAAAATCATTGTTTATTGTTTTGTTTTCCGTTTACTTTGTTAAAACCATATTTCGAATTTTTTTGGTTTCACTGTGCTCATTTCTGTGCTTCTTGATAATTTCCTGGTGTTAGCTTCTCATCCCTCTGTTGGTAGATTTTTTTTCCCCATTTCTTGGTTCCTTATGTATTCCTTGGTACAAATCTGTCTAATTTTTGGTTGTGTGATGATCCTTGCAGGTGAGCTATATGAATGTTGTTTTGAAACACAGAGCTTCATCCACTCGAATCTGCAATGCATAGCAGCAGGTTCATCCTCACCCTTTCACTATTATCTTCTTAAAGCGAAACATTTTAATTATGGCTTTGGTTGCTTGACATTTTTAGGTATATAATTTGCTATACTTTTGTTTTCCTGCAAATGAATAGACTTAATGCAATCCTCGGTCAAATCATTTATCACATTCAGACAAGTTCCCAATTATTTTTGCATATGAAGAAGACCATCTTCACCAACACCGGATTTATCGACAAAGTGAATTTTGATTACCCCAAACTTATTAATCAAGAAGCCACTGTTTTAATAAAATTTGGCATAATCTTTAACATGAATATAGAAGGAAAAAAAGCAAAATAGGCCTGCCTCAAATGGATGTATATGTGTAGAAATTATGTTGGAAGGTTAGTTAAAACTTAGGCTTACTCCTTGGGTTATTTGGATTTCAGTATTTATCAAACTTTGCCTTGCTTATGTATTGATCTCATAACTGTCGCTTTTGTACAACAACCCAAATATGGAATCTGCCATCTGGATTCTATATGGAAGTTGTGAAGCTTTTTTCCCCCAAAATTTTGGTCTTTTTGTTTTTGTATGTTGGTTTAAAACAAATAAAAAGTTTTGGTATTGGTATTTTGCTTTTGTTCCTAAACAAGGGCAATTTTTTACTTCTGAAATGGTTGTCACCTTATTATTTGTTCTTGTGCCAGTGCCAAGTTATGATGGTGCTCATTGCTCTAGGAAAATTAGGAGGGGAAATTTTCATATGCTTTGTGGAATCTTTGATGCAATTAGCATTTTAATTTTGACTCCTCCCATTAGTATTTTTTCTTTGTGATAAATTCTGTTGTAATCTATGTGTGTTGCTGATGAAAGAAGATAAAGGTTTAGCCATGATCCTTAATGGTCCCTGAAAACTCATGGTACTTTGCTGATTGCTGTTATACGGTGATAATTGTGGCTGATGCTGTTATGATTCATAACTAGGCAATTTCCTCTCATATTTTCTTTTTGGTTGTCCTATGATTTTCATTTGTCCTAACTTCATTTGCCATCATATGTTTAGGCTTGGGTTACCCTTGGTAGAGCACAATTAAATTTGGGGAGGCTGATAGTGCCATTCAAAGCTTCGACAGAGCATTAACCATCAAGGTAGTGTTTCACCTTTCAAGAAATTATAATCTGTAGTTCTCAAAGCTTCTTACGCTATTTTCTAATGCGTCTTTGGGCCACTGACCTTAGGTGGAGTCTGATACTGCAATATTATGTGCTAATCTAATAAACCCTGCAGCTTATTCATCTTCGTCATGAGTAATTTTTTATTTTTTTCATTGAAATAGGGATTTAGTGGATGATTGTTTGTAACGCATGTTAGTTAAAATGAGTAGAGTATTGGGTGCCAATCTCATGTCTGAAAATCACTGTACCCTAAGGAAGAAACATTGTTTGCACGATCTATAATACTTGTTCAAGCAAGAATCTTTTCCTAAACTAAAAAGCTTACATTTCAATTGATCTTTCCTTTTCTTCTCAGTGAAAACACATACTAAAGCAACAATGCTATGGTGGTGGGAATAAGCGTTCTCAGCTATGTATGAATTGTTGATGAATTATCAATTAGGATCACAATCATACATATTTTTTATGTCCGGCCGGTATCAAAGGTGATAATGTTCTTTATTTCGGCCTCAATTCAAAAGTGAAATTCTTTTTTTTCATTTTTTTCATTTCATAGAAATTTCGATTCATTGCTTTTGCTTTAATTGCTCCTTTTGGGTTTTCTAGCCGAAAAGTAGTCTCCTGTGATCAATTTAATTTAGCTCTCCTGATTTTTCTTTTTTTGATCAAATCAGGTTTGAATTTTGTTAATGTCCTGTTTGAGATAAGGAGATAGGTAAGGTAATTAATTCCTTGAATTTCCTTTCAATTTAAACTTTTTTTAAAGAAGAACTTTGAATTGGCAATAATAATTTAATTAATTACTTACATGTTTTCATTTTAATGATTTGATTGGATGATTGAATTGTGTGTTAGTGGAAATTGATGTGTGATGAGTGGTGTAAATATTGTGTTGGTACTTCATATATGATATTATCAAACTTCTCAGAAGGGAAGGGGTATCCCCTTCTTCTTCTTCTTCTCTCGAATTGTCTCTTAAAAAACTAAACCACGGCCGCCAGTTTTCTTATCCCCTAATCACTGATCTCCGCAGGTTTTGCCCAAGCCAGCGAAAGATTCAGGGGAACAGGAGCTCACACTATTAGAGGTATAAGTTCACATCCCTAAATTTTTTTTATTATAATAATTTCAGCTGGATCTGAGTAATTCTAAGTCATGGATCTATGAATAGTGTGTGTTTGAGTCTCTCAGCGTCTATTTTTTTCATCGAATGGTCTCTGTTGTGTCTCTGTATTTGTGCATCCATGTATGAATATGCTCTCTAAAAGCTCATTATTGTCCTGGGAAGCCTCCTAAATTATTGATTCCTTGCTTTCTATGTACAATGTTATTAAATTCTATTTTCTGATTTTGGGGTGGAGGGAGTGAAAATATGGTAATTTTCAGGGATTTTGGGTCTTTGCGGGATTTTTTTGGGTAAATTTGAGATTTGCAGTTGATTTTAGGAATTGATTTATAGGTTTGGTTTGAATGCACTGACAGAAGTTATTGTTTCTGTTAATGCAGATAATGAAAGGTAAGTTTGAAAGTAAAAGGGATGAAGTGGTGTCTGGTTAGAAGGAGAGAGATCCACGGCAGTGGGCACGACCATGGCCGCAGCCATGAAGAGGAAAGACTGTTGGCGACATCTAAGCTTCTCAAGGAATTGACCGAGGAAGATGACATGAAATTACAGATTTGGATTTCATCAGCATGGCCATGATCATGAGCATTTTGGTAGTCTGCAGCTCTAAGTTCTTGGTATTTCTTCTTACATTTAATCTGGTTGAATTCTGTTCTTGGTATTTCTTCTTACATTTAATCTGGTTGAGTTCAGTTCTTGGTATTTCTTCTTAAATTTTATCTGGTTGAATTTTTTATTTTATGGGTTTGGAAATTCAAGTTTTTTCTTTTCTTTTTTTTTTTCTTTCTGCATTTTATATTTCCATTGAAGCTTTTGAACTGTTCTGTTTGGTCTTCAGTATGATTACTTATACACTATTTTGCCATATGCATTTGCTACAAAATGTAAACTTATTTTAAATGAAAACATGTTGAAGTCTCTTTGCATTTGCATAAGCTATTGTGTGTTGTTAAAAGAGAGAGGGCATCTACCATAAAACACACACGCCATGGGTGTAAAACTAAGTTTGTCATGGAAGTGTTTCTGGATTTCTTCGATACCCTCTCCTTCAGCCAAACCTCTGCATTTACATGAATTTTTAGATTGCAGGGTCTGACAGCATGAAGAATATAGACCATTAGCAGCTATAGATTTATTTTTCAAAGCATTTTGGATAGGACAATTAATGGATGGTAGAAGTAAAACTGAAAATCTTTTGCATAATCATTTATATGGTGCACTTATACAATAGCTCTCTTGCACAAAAAATCTCTTAACAATATCAATGTATAAAAGGCACTTCTACATGATATGTTAGCATCTTACAATTTAAGAGAGCTACCATTCACATTCACATACACCATATTAATCGTTTACATATCTGGCAATTTCATAGCATTTGACGTTTTATCCCATCTACAACATCTCAAGCCTCATTACTTTATGTAGAAAATTACTTTATACATATGCAATTTACATGTCTTGAAGTTAATGACATTAGCTGTGCACATGTTTGAATATTGGTGCTTAAGATGCATGAGTTAATGACATTAGCACAGCACTATAATTTCTTGACATGTCGTGAGCTGAAATGCTAGAAAGGAAAAAAATGTCCACTTCCTCCGGCCTCCTGAAGTGTTTCCATTCCTGTGTCACCATCTTTTGTTTCATTCATTTGTAGAATATCTTCTTCTTTTTTTCTATACCTTTATTACCTCCTTTTAACTACGATTATCTGTACTTGATTAGTATTATTAGACCCATTCTCAAAATTTTGCATCCCCTGCTTCTTTCTTATGGTCCTTATACTCAAACATGTGCAAGTTTGTATTTTTCTGATGGATTAGACTATTGGGAACTTAGTTACTTTTGCTTTTTATATATTTTTGTTGGGTTTTTTGTTTTTCGGAAAATGAGTATTTGATTAATCGCTTGACTTTCGCTTTCAAAAGGACTGTTAGAAGTTTTGTGTCAATTTGGTTGTGATGCTAAGATTACTTTATGTAACATTGGTATGTGGCATGTGAGTGTCGAATTTTTTTCTTAATTTAATTTCGGAAAGAAATGCGTTTAACTGTAGTCCTATATGATGAAGTTAGCATCCTTATAAGTTGGGAACCTAAAACAGGATTGGTGTACTCATAAATTCCTACTTTTCTCTGCCTCCTTCCCCTCTACTTTCACCAGTTGTGACTTATTTTCTTTTTTGGTTCTATCTCAGGAGTTTGTCAAGGAGAAAGTTTGTGAACGAAAGAAATCTAATCGAGAGGTATTTTCTTTTTGGCAGATATCATGAATTATGTTTGGGTGTTTAAACAATATTTGCCTAAAAGTATACTCTGTTTTTTAGTGCTATTTCAAATAAGGTAACGTCCCCAAACACTGATATTTTGGTTTTCTATTGGTATGTGTGAAACCAGCTTGATTCAGGTTATAAGGTTGAGGGTTGCGGATGGTTAATCATGTTCAATAACCTTAGTTAGTAGGACATTCACTTAAATTTTGGTTTCAAGTTGTAGAAAGACGGCTTTTCATTCTTTCTTAATATAAGCTTTCATTACAGCTTAGTTTCACATCATTCGTCTTTGGATTTGCTATATAAGTTTTTAGTAAGAAAATCTTACTGGTGAATTGTTAAAAGGTAGGAAGAGAGAAGGCAGCCTGCGAATTTATAAACTAAAGTTCAGATGCATTTTCTGTGGTATGGGGTGTCCGAGAGAAAGGGTTTCAGGGATTAGGTTTGGGTGGGATTTCAAGGATTAGGTTTGGGGTTTTGTTTGTGCAATTTGTAGAGAGATGGGGGGTGTCCGAGATAGGATTTAGGAGATTTGTTTTAGGAATTGCAGAGAGAGATAGGGAGTGTCCAAGAGAAGTGTGGGAGGATTTAGATGTAATGGCTGCCTTTGTTACATTATGATTTATGTTTTTTGCTATAGAGTCGAAGATGTCCGATCTCAGAAAATGTGAACAGCCATGCTCTCTGTGATCGAATGCTGCATAATTTTTTTGTTTGAACATCTGTGCTTGACGACTTACCTGCTCAAACACCGTTTTTTCTGTGTTTTGCTAACTGCTAAGTGAGATATGTAGGCTGCAGGGCATATATTTTACCGTCTTAACTGCAAGGGCAAAATATGTGTAAACTGCAGCTTGCTTCTGTTTCTTCAATTTCGTATGGAAACAGACCTTCTGCTTATTTTTGCCTTTGAACGGTTGTGGTTACAAAATTAGCTACTTGAACCTGTTGAAATGGTTGCCTACACTGTAGGACACACATTATATGTGTGAACTACATGTTTCTTCTGTTTCTTAAGGAAACAAAACTTTTTTGGAAACCATCTCTTTCTAATCAAACACGTTCAGTTTTGTCCCACTCATTGTACAATGTGTTTACATGTCAGCTCACTTGAATGTATATAAAAGCAAAATTGCCTAACTTATCTATCTCGTTCACTCATGTATCTTTCTGTTTGTTCATAATTTTGTTGAATTTATTCAACTTAAATGTGTTTTATTCATCCGATTATGCCTAAAACAGATGGTTTCTGCAGTAACGTGCGGACGTAATTTCTAGTGCTATCTATATGACCTTATGCTAGGTTGTGACTTCTAAGGAGAGCGTCGACAGCCATGTCTATTTCCAACCTTGACATGGTTTCGTAATTGATTCTAACCTGAAGAACTTCTGAAAACTCATTGATCAAAGATCTACAAGCAATGTCAAGTAGCTGGCCATCATTGGGATCTGGTAGATCTGCTATTTCAGTCTGCAGATGTATGAAATTCAACAAGCAAGCTTTAAAGCTTCCAACCTGGTAGCCTTGTAACCCACAAGGTACGACCCAACGAAAAGGAGTCAAGTCTGGGTTCACAACTTCACATTCAGTGCTAAGCCATCATATGTTATCCCCTGGTTAACTAGTATGCCAATGGCTGCCAGTTTCTGGTTTCCTGAAGAAAAATTCAAATATAAACATCACAGTAGAATTCCAGCTGCCAGTTTCAATATCAATGTTCTTGTTTTTTTTTTTTTTCTTTTCTAAACACGACTAAATTAGCGAACAAGGAACCACTACTTGTAAAGGAAGCTATGAGAGCAAAAACTCGGTACTGGCAATGATAATAAGCTATAATACAAAAGGAAGGAGGTACAGCATGCCCTTGTTTTAAGAAGCATACCATGCCAAACACCAGTGAGGCCCTTAAGCCCCAGATGCCTTGGTACAGAATGTCTTTGCAAGAGCACTGATGATCACCTCCTCAAGTGACCCGGGGTACCAATGAGGACCCATCTTGTGATTTCGTAGATTCATAATAGGGTACATAACTATCTACAGTAAAAACGCATGCACCCAAGGTTAGGAAAAATGACTCTCTAAGCAATTAAATCACACGTTCGGATTTTGATTCCTACTTTAACTTGACTACCGTGGGCTAACAAGTTCAAATTACAATGGCAACGTCTCCAAAAACAGAAATGTTAAATTCAGCCATTGAAGTACCTGATCCAGACCATGATATGTAACCTCCCCGCCACATTCAGTTCGATAGATGCAGAAAGGTGCGTCCTTGAAATATAGCAGTTCCCAAGGTAAACACAACAGGACGATGCTGAAGAATAAACTGAGTCTGGGCAATGATCATTCTTCTCTATCAGAGATTTTTTTCTCCTCAACTCTGCTCTTCTGCCAAGCCCATGCCTGACTATAAGGAACCTGCTGCTTGTACATATTGAAGCACTCACACCCGCACAAATCCGAGTTGGCCTGGTGGGTTCCATGGGACATTATGACTTTATGAAATGATTTGGAAACTCACTCTCTGGTTGGCTCGAGAGTATAAGAGGTGGACGGCAGAGTTTTAACGTCTGAAACTTGATTTGATTTTGATAAGATGCGCAGAGAGAGAGAGAGTGAGGAGGTTTATGTCGATGCTTATAGATTGGGTATGTTGGAACTGCAGCGACACAGTGAGTCACCACAAGGGTCATATTTGAGGTGTGTTTTGGCTTCTACAATGAAACGGACTGGGAATGAGAATGTAGTTGGGAAGGCAACGAAAACTTAGAAAAACACAATAAATAGGCATACTTCAGCCAATTTATAAATTGGGAGAAACAACAATATTAATAAAAAGCATCGTCAAAGTGAAAGACCGCAAAAATTACATTGCAATTGTCATACGACCAAAATCTGTTACAATTGACAACTTACAGAAAGGAGCTAAAAGTATATGCAAAAGGTTCAGTCCGCCAGTCTGTTCCCAATAAACTAATAGTTTGAAAGCTTCTTGACATTGAAATTTAAGTTAATCCAACTAATATTTCTTGCTGGAGTCTTAGAGGTGAAGTCTGCATAAGATAGGCTGACGGTGACGGTGGAAAACATGATGTGGCAATACATTATACATTACAACATGCTTAAAGAGAAAAACCCCATTTGCTCTTCGAAGCTAAAATCTTGAAATATTTTGAACAAAGGCACAAAATTTGCATTTGCGGAAACAACAGCAACAGCATACCTCAACAAGAACAAACGAACCAAAGAATATATAAAAAAAAAAGTTGAACAAATTCAGACACACATATTCAAAAGTCAAGCACCTAGATCAAAACTCCCCGAACTAAAAAGGATGTGTGTTTATCGTTTGTAGGCTCGTCCACGAGTGGTGACCAGGGCAATAATGAGGCTGGGGATCACAGCTGAAAACCGTACTATGGTTGCAAGCCATAGAGGCTCGACATCATACTTCTCCATAGTGTTTTCCTAAAAAAACAGAGTTGAAAGAAGTACCATATAATTTCCACCACGTTTAACAGCCATTGATAAACAAATAGACCAAAACCATTTTAAAGATTATTAATCAACTTATGATCTAAAATTGAAATATTCTTACCATGAGTACATTGTGGCAAGCTGAGCATAGTACTGAAGCGATCACAAGACACAATGGCCAGGTCCAGTTTTCATTGACACGTCGATGAGCTGCGAAATGAATTGGAAGAATTTCTGTGCAGGAAGCAGCAGGTTCCCCCTGGCAGAATTTCGAGTGCTCCATGGCTTTTGGACAAAGTGGAGGAGAAAGTGGAGGAGGCGGAAGAATTTCTGTGCAGGGAGCAGCAGGTTCCCCTTGGCAGAATTTAGAGTGCTCCATGGCTTTTGGACAAAGTGGAGGAGGAATCGGAGGAGACGGAAGAATTTCTGTGCAGGGAGCAGCACCTTCCCCTTTGCAGAATTTTGAGTGCTCCATGGCTTTTTGACAAAGTGGAAGAGAATTCGGAGGAGAAATAGGAGGAGACGGAAGAATGTAGGTGAAGGGTACTGTTCCGAGTGCTCCATGATTGCCATTTTTACTTCCAATTCGATTGCCGGAAATGACAATCAGAAACCAACGTTTTTGCTATTATCGGCAAAAATGTCTGTTTTGGGTGAAGGGAAGTGTGCAGTGTCTTCAAGTAGGAAGATGAACCATTAATAATAATATTATTGGGATCAAAAAATGGACTGAGCCGTTGTAAGTTTGAAATAACATTATTGGAATTGGTAATATCATTATGTAGAATGACAGGTGGAGAGGCACGAAAGGAGAGCTTGGTTAAGACTGGACTCTAAGACACTATTTGGGAGTTGAAATCTTCTGCACCCAAAAGCCTCTGTGGCTCCCCTGTGGCCTCTCTCAGGATTTCACCTGTCCGCTACTAACTTCACTTTTAAACACTGTTAACTCTCTGAACAAATTAAAAAAATAAAATTTAAAAAAAAGACAAAAATAAGCGTAAAACCAGAAGCTCAACAGTCCCCGATCTCTCCCACCGAACGCCGACCACCACCAAAGCATCCCACAACCATCCTTCTCGGCCTCTTGATTGAGAATCTCGCTGTACCCTTCCAGATCCCCGATACTCCAAACCCACTTCACAGAGACCCGCCATATCCGTGAGGTCCGCGTCTACCAGTCGGCGTTACGAGAAATCGAAGCCCTCCGCCGCCATTGATGGGGCTTTTCCCAGTATATCCTTTCGCGCTTTAATCTTTGTACAATTACAAAACCCCCACTTGGAAGAAGAAGACTTGTGGTGTTAGGAGGATAATGTGGACCGTGGCGACGACCGTCCGATGCTTGGAAGCCATGTGCTATAAATTTGGAATTTCAAAGGAAAGCTGTGGTAGATAGGTTGTAGGGGTGAAGATGGCAGGGAAGGGAGGAAGGAGGAGGCGCTATGGTTTCTATGGGTTGAGAGGTACAAGAGACTGAGATTGAGAGAGCTGAAAGCGCGATGGGGATGGATCCATTTTTTTATTTATTTTTAATCTTTGTCAGAGTTAACGGTGTTAAACTAGAATTAGTTGTTGGCAGGTGTCAAACTCTAAGAAAGGCCACAGGAGGCCACAGAGGCTTTTGGGTGCAGAAAATTGCAACTCTCCTCATGGAATCCCAAGAAAACGCTCTATCTTCTTTGTACATATTCATTTTTGCCTACGTTAATGAATGTCATGCTCTACTTCAGGAAAAAATAAATAAATAAAAAACAAGCCACAACTATGAGTTCATCAATTAGCTTGCTTTTGATCTCGTAGCGTTCTAAGGAGAAGAGATATCAAGTTCGATCTACCTTTAGACTTTGTAGTGTGTTTAATATTTAGTTTCAACTGACACATTATGATGAAAGTGTTGCATTTTTCAGATATCCGACGGGGAATGCCTAAATTGAGTTCGAGGTGGATTTGTGAAAATTTGAGTGGATGTTTTAGTTGTGAAAATTTTCAGCGTATATGACTGACTCACTTTTAGGTCAAAATTGCATGTCTCTTTCCTCCAAAAAATTATAAGGATACAATGCTGAAATTATATGACAAATGACAATTGGTAAAAATGGCAACCACATCCGCATGCATGGAAATGAAGCAAAACTAAGGCACTTATTACGCATCATTTTCAACCATTGAATCCTTATATAAGTAGCTGTATATCATAAATATCACTTCTACTCCCTTTTGCTTTCCTTCCTCCCCTCTAATTTATTACCACAATCTCAAAATCAAGTACAGTGTACTTGTATACTGCCAGCCCCATGATACGTGCAAGTTTCATTTTATTTTTTGGAATTGGAATAATCTAATTTAACATTGACACGATACGGTTTCAAAGCAAGGAACTGATTTTTCTGCTCTTCCCCTTTGTTGTCCTCTTACTTTCGTTCTTGTTTTAATAAGTTTGAATAAATTAAAGGAGAATAAATAGACAAAAACAAGATATGTAATCATGTTTGTTTCATGATTCAGACCCCATCCTTTTCGATGAACCCTTCTTCCTTTCACATCCCTGCCTTCTCTCTCTCTCTCTCTCTCTCTCTCTCTCTCTCTCTCTCTCTCTCTCTCTCTCCTACTCTCGATGTTTCCGAGTTTAGTATTTCCTTGAAGGTACTAACACTTTCTTCATATAAAATAGAAAACATTACAGGGTACAGACCCCCTACCTAAAAAAGTTCGAAAAACTAAAAATTTCATCTTTGGTAATCAAAAACTTGAGAAAGTTGGCGTTGTCCTTTGTTATGTCCTTGACTTTCGACGGTGAGGGTCGGTGGTGCTGAAGGATTTCTGGGTTTAATGGAGTGTGAATACTTTTCCTTTTTAGTATGACAGGTAGCTTTTTTTTATTGGATGGTATCATAAGTGTGCCACTTAAGCAACTTAACAAATATGTAACGGGAATTGACGAAATCCCGTCAAAATGAAGTGAACATTGAGTTTCAAGCATAAAATGGCGATATTTTAATTTCAAAAAGAAACATTAAGTTTGAGTTACAGGGGACAACAACAACAACAACAACAAAGCCTTTTCCCACTAAGTGGGGTCGGCTATATGAATCCTAGAACGTCATTGCGCTCGGTTTTGTGTCATGTCCTCCGTTAGATCCAAGTACTCCAGTCTTTTCGTAGGGTCTCTTCCAAAGTTTTCCTAGGTCTTCCTCTACCCCTTCGGCCCTGAACCTCTGTCCCGTAGTCACATTTTCGAACCGGAGCGTCAGTAGGCCTTCTTTGCACATGTCCAAACCACCGGAACCGATTTTCTCTCATATTTCCTTCAATTTTGGCTACTCCTACTTTACCTCGGATATCCTCATTCCCAATCTTATCCTTTCTCGTGTGCCCATACATCCCACGAAGCATCCTCATCTCCGCTACACCCATTTTGTGTACGTGTTGATGCTTCACCGCCCAACATTCTGTGCCATACAACATCGCTGGCCTTATTGCCGTCCTATAAAATTTTCCCTTGAGCTTCAGTGGCCTACGACGGTCACACAACACGCCGAATGCACTCTTACACTTCATCCATCCAGCTTGTATTCTATGGTTGAGATCTCCATCTAATTCTCCGTTCTCTTGCAAGATAGATCCTAGGTAGCGAAAACGGTCACTTTTTGTGATCTTCGCTAGATTGTTCCGGTCATTAGTGTGGATAAGTATATAAATGGATAGAGACAGGAAAGCAAACACAAAATGTACGTGGTTCACCCAGATTGGCTACGTCCACGGAATAGAGGAGTTCTCATTAATTGTGAAGGGTTTACACAAGTACATAGGTTCAAGCTCTCCTTTAGTGAGTACAAGTGAATGATTTAGTACAAGTGAATGATTTAGTACAAATGACATTAGGAAATATTGTGGGAAAATGATCTCGTAACCACGAAACTTCTAAGTACCGGAGTGTGGTATCGTCTTGACTTTCCTTATCTGTCTCATAGGTAGATGTGGCATCTTCTCTGGAAGTACTCTTCCTCCATCCAGGGGTGGTATCTGTAACTATTGGAGATGTACAAGGTAATGTATCAATGTCACTTGAAGCTTACTTGTAGTTTCAGGTTTGGTCAAGCGCGATACAAATCATGTAGTAGGAGTCCCCCAAGTCGCCGAACTAGGGGATCTGCTGAAAGAGGTGACAGACAACGTAAGCAATCAGAGCTCCGGCTGATTGTTCACATTCTCCCTATCTTGCAGGCAGCATGAAGGATAAAGAGAAGAAAAATGAGAAGATATGATATGGGATACTTTTGCTTTTGAAGAAGTAACTTTCCACAGGCTTATTCTTGAACTGGGCTGGAGGGTTTTCTGGTTTCCTCTAGAGTATAAGGCCGACTGAAGAATTTGAGGGTCAAAACAAGTCCATCAAATCTAGAGTACGTTCGACCCTGCTGATATGGGATACTTTTGCTTTTGACAGAGTAGTGGATGTATCGGCACGTGTGCTGTTACACTTGTCTCCACATGCTTCCTTGTATCCTTCTCACTTGCCCTATCTGTTCCTCAGGCAGATGCGGTATCTTCCCTAGAAGCATAAGATGTTGAAGATGAGTACTCGAGAGTAATGCCAGGTAAGTAATCAGGTAAGGGGTTCCAGGCAGTCAGTTCCTGGCTGGAAGCTTGATTCCAAGTGCTGACTGATTGCTCTCTTTCTCCTTGTCTTGCAGGTAAGAACAAGGCCAAAGGAAAAGACAGGGAAAAAGCATGATATGGGATATTCTTGCTTTTAACCCTGATGATATGAGATATTCTTGCTCTAGTATAGCTTGTTTACAGAGGTATTATCGGGGGGAAAGAAAGCTGAATATTTCGAAAGGCTTCGTTGGGAGTGCCCTCTCAGATAAGAGGAAGGGTTGAGCATTTTTGCAGGTCTGCCTGTCCGTTAGGGATGGAGGTCGACATATATAGGAGTCTCCCTAACATCAAGTAATAATGCTATTCCTTTACCCTGCTTGGTCATAGCACGGTAGTGGGAGCTGCCAGCTTCACAAGTTTTAACTCTGTTAGAGCACTTTGAAAAAGTGGTCTGTGGTATCTGGAAAGCTGATGTTGCGTGTGAAGATTACAGACAAGCTTTATCCAAGGAGATCCAACTCTTGAAGTTGGGAAAGTGGTGCCTCTTCGGTTTTCGAACAAGCAATCCTGTCGAGGATCTCGCTCTCAAGATTCGGAGAACGATGCCTCTTCGATTTTTGAGAAAGCAATCCTGCTGGGGGTCTGGCTCTCGAGATTCGGAGAGCGGTGTCTTCGATTTTTGAGAAAGTAATCATGTTGGGAGTCTGGCTCTCGAGATTCGGAGGGCGGTGCCTCTTCGATTTTGGAGCAAGCAATCTTGTTGGGAGTGTTTTCTCGAATGTGAGTAAAGGTTGGGCATGTTTGCTAGTCTACCTTGCCACGAAGCACAGAGGTTGACACACAGGGACTTTCCAATTATCCAGCAGTGGTACTGTTCCTTTACCCTCTCTTCAATTTTTGAGAAAGTAATCATGTTAGGAGTCTGGCTCTCGAGATTCGGGAGGCGGTGCCTCTTCGATTTTGGAGCAAGCAATCTTGTTGGGAGTGTTTTCTCGAATGTGAGTAAAGGTTGGGCATG